GGGGGTTTTCCCCCCCCCCCCCCCCCAGCCGTCACCAATCCTTATTCCCTGCGGCGAAACCTCCTCCGTTTCACCGTGCCTATCCTTCCGGAGTTTTGGGCGCTAGGTCCGCTGCTATCTGGGGCTCGGCCCATCGTAACGGTCCCGGCCGAAGTCTTATGAGGGGAGTGGGCAGTATGTCCCTTCCCCCTTACGGTCAGAACGCGCCAAACTCGGGGAGCGGAGTCAGCGACTCCCACGCATGCGGGAGAGCCGCCCCTCTCTCCTCCTCGAAGTGCCTCGTTACCGAGGGTTTGCACGCAGATTAAGTGCGGCGCACTCTCCCCGAGGCGCCTCCTAGTATTGCGCCCCCGGGTTCTTCCCCAGCGGCGATAGTCTCCGGCTGGACCCATTTGGGGGCTCGGCTCACCAGCAGATACACTGGTGGAGGGGACTTCTGATATATCGTCGCCTCCCCGCCTGCGAGTGCACCGCCCCTCTAGGCCACGCAGATGTGTGGCTGGGAGAGGTGCCCTTTGTCTCCTTCTTGGGCGCCTCTCCCCATCACGCGGGGCCGCCTCGTCCCGCCTTACTCTCTCCTCCTCCTCCTTTTGCGACACAACCGTATCCGCAGTAGGAGATGACGGCCGACCAGCCCTCAACTTCCCCTAACATAGCCCTGATAAAGGCTGGGGAAGAGAGTTCCGTCCCCACCACCTCGATTAGAACCCGGCGCTTTTGTTAGAGATAGCGCTGCAGGGTATGTTGCGTCAAGTCCACTTCGGCACCACAGTGGTGGCTGCGGGAAATGTGTTCCCTACTAATTCTGTGCAGGTACTTATCGAAACAACCATGTCAGGTGAGTACCTGCGTTGTCCGGAAGGACAACTTTCCGTGGGCCTTGTCTACCCATTCCTGTAGACAGGGCCGGATGGCTTCGGCGACCCGACATCCCCAATGGCCCGTCGCCTCCAGATGGATGCTCCACCTAAGGAGTGGACGTTGATAGGCCTGGACCTCTGTACACTCTCCTAACGTTCAACAATAATATTAACCTTCAAAAGTGAATTTATGGATTCTTTTGAAGATACTTTTGAACGTTGCCAACGTTATCCCTTCTTTTTTTTATGGATTTTGTCCGCTTACCCCAAGTGCTTAACAAAATTTGCTCTAACAGATTAGGCTACCTGGATCGTCGCAAAACTCTTGTTTGATAAGATGAGAAGCGAGAAAATATACATTAAAAATTCCTATAAAATACGTTGATAAAGATGTACATATAAAATGACACTTGCAATCAAACAAATTTGTAAAATAGTCTGAATACTTTTCTTTTGTTCCAAAAATCGACAAATAACCGTAAAATTAATGTAACATGTGAATTATCCTCTTTAACTTACCTTCTTTGAATTTGTCACGTTAATTTTACGATTTATTGATCGTTAGAATAAAATAAAAATGTTCGGTCTATTTTATAGACCCGCTCGATCGAGATTGCAAGTATCATTTTGTAAACATATTTTATTTCAATATATTTTACAAGTACTTTTACATATATTTTTTCGCTTCTGATGTCATAAACTAAGAAGACCGCAAAAAAAGACAATAATTTTTATAATTAATAACATTGCAAAATAGAATACACAACCTCTTTTAATTAAAAAAAATTTTCTTTATTTAAAAAATCTCAAGAGAATTTACAAAAATATCTGAATTTTTTTTTAATTAAAAGAAATTCGACAGAGTTTTTAAAAGAATTATCTTTTCTTATTAAAGAATTGTATGTTTTTCATAATCACGTGAAATTTTTTATCCCGTTCTAGCAGTGATCTCGGAATATCAGAGATTTCTAATGAATCATCTAATGTGATTATTCCGAGATTATGATCACAATTTAATAATTTATATAAAAATTGAGAAAGCCGATATTTATTTAATTTTTTCCAAATATTTTATAAAAATTTTCTTTCTCAAAAAATCATATATTCCATTTTTCAGCTCATTCTCTAAAATCACATTAACACATATATCATAATTATCAAATTGTAAGAAGAGAAGAAATCAGAAAAAAGTTGATAATTTTTATTTCTTGATTTTAAGACCGTAAACTCGGTATATAATAATAGATATTAAAACAAATATTTATGTAAATTTTTATTTTTTTATGACTAATCAACTACTAAGTTAATGACCTTGAATTTTTAATTATCCTGTATAAATCGTGACAATAATAACAGAATCGAACTATATTTTGGACAACGTTTAAGTGAGAATTAGATCTCAAACGTATGTGAAACATTACTCTTCAAACGTGAATACTTTCCCTATAATATTACAAGTAAATGTAAGAATGCACTTACAAAAAATTTTAATCTAATTAATAATACATAATAAAAGTAGACACACACATTGAGTACGTGTCAATTATAGTACCTTAAAAATAAGTTCCAAATCAAAGTCTTTTTACATTTCTGACGAAACTTACATGCACACATATGCTCTTTCTACTTGAATTAAACCTGGTTTCACAAATTACTTTAACTGTAGTTGAAAACCCATTCAAACTGACATAATCACATGTTATACAAGGAAATCAATTAATCATTATCCATGCAATAAAAGAATTTATATCTTTTATATTAGACACACAATTAATCAATGTCTGTATGAATATGCATTATTAACTATAAACTTATCTGGATAAACTTTTAATGAATTAAACTCCAGTTAAAATGAATTATGAAGCCAGGTTTTAGGAATAAAAATCAGTATGATCTCTGTGAATTCAACTTTCAATGTCGATGTAGGAAAATGTATAACATTGCGCCAATTGTTAATTACTGTTTATCACAGTATATACTTTTGTCCATCTACATTGTCGAAATCTGAGTTCATTGAAATTATACAGTTTCCTATACTATCGATTTGAATGAATACCTCATTACTCTGAAAGTGGACCCTGGCACATATTTTAATTGCAATTACAAAAGCTCTTATTCTAGCAATATAATTGTACCTTAACAGATACATATTTAGTTTCACGAATAACTTCTTATGATTCGTCAGAAACACATTTTATTCTCTTATCTCGTTTCTCTTCTTCAACAATATTGAAAGCTGACGAGGATCTTTCAAGAAAAATATTTACCAACTCGAAGCACTATACACATTCACGAATCATGTTTCGTATGAGGCAGCATTCGAGTAGTTTTTCTTTTCTTTTTTCTATTTCATTTATGTATTATCTTCCGTTCCATTACTTTCGAAAGCGATATCTCGAATGGACACAGAAACGTTATTACGTTTATAATAATAAACTGTCGACACTAGTACGTAACACTGAATGAAATAATCAACAGGCTAACAATATCCGTAATATCTTTTTACTGCCACAAGTTAGTAGAAAGAGTCTGTCCTGGTAGCGTAGCAGCGGCAGGTTTACCCGTCGTAGTAGCAAAATTCATGTCACTCAGAGATATCTGCGATATTTGTTGCGGTAACTGAAATATTATTATAAATTATTATGAAATATAACTACTATACAAATATATAACTAAAATATCCAACTGAGTAAAGATGGCACAAAAATATATTGTATTATAATAATTACCTAAACATTAAATTATGCTGTTTCTATATCAAAATAGTTTAACATCTTTTAAAAATTTAGATAATGTGCTGTTTTTCAATTGTTAAAATTTTTAGCAAACGAGAATTGACCAACGAAAGACGCACAAGCGCTAGACCATTTTAGTATCCGCTAGTTTTACGTATACATATATAGTGATGGTTCTTAATTTTGATCAAAATCCCATTCGATAGAAAATGAAATAATTGAGAAATAGTACATTATCTATAATGTAAAAAAAAAATAAATACACTTTAGTGCAGAAATATTTGTAGGTAATCGTTATAAAACATCGTCTATATGTGAACAAAAATTTATAATTTTACTTATATTTTTTTCATACGCGTGCACATGTATAATATTAACCGATAAAATTTTAAATATCTTTTTGATTTATGACATACACACACACATACACATACAGGAAAAGAGCTAATTTTAAATAACTATATTTCCAAAACGAAAAATCGTATAAAAACAAGAACGCGCTTTAAAACTTGATGTTCATACTTTCTTATATTATTAATAAAATAAAATAAAAAATTCTATCGTTGCTGCAACTATTCATGAAATCCCTCAAAATCACAATTTTTAATCCACTCTCAGATAGCCAAATCTGCGCAGACAGATTCTAAGCAGAGTCCACTAAAAATGTTTGATGCCAGAAAAACTACAAATTTTACACAGAATCTATTCTATCTGATGATGTTACTAAATTGTTGCCAAAAATCTAAGAGTTTACTGGCATGCTATGTTAGCGGATTGATGGTAAAAATCAAACAGACCCTGTAGTAGTTTGATTGATGGCAAATTGATCGCAGAAACTGAGCAAACTAGCGCGCAATTTGGCGGTAGAATCTGCTCGGTTTTTGCCGCCAATCTGTCGTCCAATCATATCAGCAGACCTAGTCGTTAAAACACAAACTTAATGCGGATACAGATAGCTATGACTTTATTATAGGATTCTGATCGAATTTGTTGTCAATTTTCCAGCATACGAGAGCTGCATGATAAGTACCGTGTTTAATGACTGATGGCGTCACTGACTCAAAGTCTATATACTATCGTTTAACGCCATCTTCCGAACGACGTCAGTCAAAATTTCAGACAGATTTATCGAGTAGTTGTCGAGTTGTTTTGATAACTGTTGAAAGTGGACAAGTTTGTGTTTGTTTGCAACCATGGAAAAAGAACAATATCGGTGATTTGATTCCTTTTTTTAGATGGGAAGACATGCGAGAAAAACAAAGTGAAGTTGCATGCCGTTTATAAGGACCATGCACCTTCGATGACTACCATCAGATATTGGCTCAATGAATTCAAGCGCGACCGAACATCCGTTTTTTATGAAGAACTCCCAGGTCGTCCGACTGAGGTGACTATGGAGAATATAGTCAATAAAATCCATGATTTCGTGTTATCAGACCGCCGGTGAAGATCAGAGAGATTGCTGACATTGTAAATATCTCATTTAAACGCGTACAAAATATCCTACACGAAAAATTGGGCATGAGAAAGCTATTGGCGAGATGGGTGCCGCGTTTGCTCACAGTGGAACAAAATCGGAATTGCATGCCAACTTCGGAGCACTGTTTGGACATATTTAAGCGCAATCCGAAAGAGTTTTTGCGGCGTTTTGTCACTGTTGACGAAACATGGATCCATCACTACATACCAGAAACAAAAGAACAGTCAAAACAATGGACTTCACTACTTCATCACTTCACTTTGGAGCGAACCTGCTCCAAAGAGGGCAAAAACGGTCCCATCGGTCGGAAAGATCATGGCCACTGTTTTTTGGGATTTGCGAGGCATCATTTTCACCGACTATTTGGAGAAGGGAGACAATCACGGGGAAGTACTATGCTAATTATTGCGCCGATTCGACGCTGAATTGAAGAGAAAACGGCCCCATTTAGCGAAGAAAAAAGTGCTCTTTCATCATGACAATGCACCAGCTCATTCGTCCATAATCGCCACAGCAAAACTGGTCGAATTACGCTACGAATTGCTGTCTCATCCACTCTATTCTCCAGATTTGGCTCCCTACGATTTCTAATTATTTCCAAACATGAAAAAATGGCTTGGCGGAAAACGGTTCATGTCAAACGAGGAAGTCAGCGCCGAAACAGAGCGGAGTTCCTATTTTGCGGAGTTCGACAAATCATATTTTTTGGATGGTATAAAAACGTTGGAATATCGCTGGATTAAGTGTATCGAGCTGAAAGGAGACTATGTTGAAAAATAAGTAAAAAAAATTTTTTAAAATGTGTTTAAAATCCCTAACACGGGTACTTATCATACTACTAACATTTTACTGTAGGATATGAAAACTGAGGATAACATGCGCTATATTGACAAAACAATATCATATAAAAAGAAGACAAGAAAGAATGTATTGGAGCGGGAGTTTGAGTAGCTCAGTGGTAAAGAGCAGTCGCCCGGCAAGCGAAAGGTCCCGAGTTCGAGTCCTGGCCCTAGCGACTCCGGTTTCCGATATACTTTTCTCTCTGATTTTTACATTACTTCTTAATTTCAACCTTTTTTTTTTTCAAAATTGTGTTATAAATTTGGACAACAAATTCGTATTTATCGGCCAAAAAATACGTCGAAAATGATTATTCACACTTGTAAGGCAAAAAAAATCAAAACTTATCGGAGTGTAATTAGTGGATCTATAATTGATATATATTTTTAAAATTTTCTAATCAAATTCACTAATCTCGTTAAGTATTTACAGAATATTTCCTTCTTCTAAAAGTAATCATTAAATAGAATAATATTTCATGACGTAGAGAGAGAGAGAGAGAGAGAGAGAGAGAGAGAGAGAGAGAGAGAGAGCTAAAAAGCACCATTGAAAGAAACTCGATTTAGTATCTGTAATATATAGAATCTTACATCGATGATTAAATTCTAAACTGATGACGGGCATATTAAATGTGCAAAATTATACATAGTGTCTGACAATTAAAGACAAAACGCTTATGTGCAAGTAGAGCAGATCAAATTAAACAGGATAACCCTGTATTATTTTGAAAACTTCGCAATATTTATTAAGAAATTAATTAAATAATATTAGCGAATAAATGTATAAAAATTAATAAGACTAGTTTTGTAAATAATATCTAATCTAAGATAACTAGAATCTGTCGACGATCTTCTGATAATAGCAGGTGATTCATAATGATGAATAGTGGAAATATGTAGTCTACCATTATATATCGCCTGCCTTTACCAGAAGATCGTCAATAGATTGCAGCCTTGGATAAAACCTAATCTATAAAACTTGTTCTATCGCTTCCCATGCACTTATTTGCTAATATTGTTTAATTAATTCTAAAAGAATGAAAATTGTTCTAATGATATTCAATCACAAAAATAAAATAATGATAAAGGAATCAGGTAAATAAGAATAAAAAACTTAATTTTGAAGCTAACAATTATATAATTTCCCTCATCATATAAATAAATATAAATACATTGATGATCTAAAATAAAATTGAAACATACGAAATTTAATACTGGCTTGATTCAATATATTTAAAAATTAATAAAGTGACATAATTGTTAACTTCAAGATCATTGTTTTTGGCTGTTATTTAACTAGTTACTTGACTTGTTAATTTCCTTATTATTGTTTTATTTTTGAGATTAATTAATTCCTTAATATTGCTTTAATATTCTTATTACAAAACTTGCAAAATGGTAGAGGATTTTCCTGTTCAATTTGATTTGTGTTACCTATACCCGAGTGTTTTGCTCTTAATTGTCCGACACTTTACACACACATGCACGCACACACGCACACATACACGCGCGCGTACGTACGCGCACACAAAGTACACTTAAATTTGTAGCAAAATTCAGTTATATGCTGCAACAAAATAACTTTGAACAATCAGATCATCAATTTTAATCAGATTATGAGCTGTCTGTTCCAACTTTTTGGTAAGCTACCTAACAGTTAAATCATATGTTTGTCTTCATTTTTTCTTCAAATTAAACAAAGAAAAACTATAATAAACTATGACTATGATTTAACTGTTAAGGTTGCTTACCAAAAAGTTGGAACAATCGGCTCTATTATATATATAATATATCCCATATATTATAATCAATATATGCCATATTTTATCATTTTAAAATTGAATCCGAATACTTCCCAAAATAAACATTTTGCTTTACAAACCTGAGTAGCAAATGTAGCAGTTTGTTGCTGTGCTGTTAAATTAAAAAATGGGTTACTACCAGGAGCTGGTTGGAGATTCTGCGTCAACATGCCGCTCCATCCGTTATTACTAGCGATATTACTTTGTCCTAATTGCATCATCTGCAAAATTAGAATAAAGTAAAAACTTTAAATATAAGAAAAGAATATGAAGATAATTCTTAGTATATTCGATAGTACAAAAAGTTATGATATACCATTTGAGGTGGCATTGTGATAGTGGAATTTGATATTCCATTCAGCTGATTCAATTGTCCCATATGTAAGCAATTATTTAAAGGATTAGCTGCTACCACACCTATCGAATTAGGATTCGCTAGAATTTGATTTTGATTAACGGGTATTTGGTTTGTAACTGGTATTTGTGTTGGAAGTTGGCCAAGTTGACCCAAGGAACTTTGTTGTCCAAATGCGCCCACATTTGTCATCTGCTGTTTATATGGTATAGGATGCTGATGAGGATACACTGTTCCTGAAATATGATAAATACAAAAACAGCTCAAGCTATTTAATCAATATAATTCTCGTTTTATACTTTACCTGGGACACCATAAATTGTTGGTTGATGACTTGGTGTGCCATACAGTGCTAAAATACTATCCTTTGTCATTTTACTTTTCTCCTGAGATACTGACCTAAGAGATGATTGGTCAAAGAAACTTTCTTCCTCGTTTTTACTTGTAATAGTGGTTGTATTATTTGCATCAGAAGTATCATTTCCAGTTGAGGTCGCTGAAGCAGGTGGTGCAGACAAGAAGGATGAAAATATATCATCACCAGAACCATTGACATTTGTTTGATTAGCTGTTGGTGCATCTGTTAATAGTAATGCTATGAAAGAATTATTGTATATTTCGTGAACGTTACATGTTAGATAAAAAACCTACCAAGACCTAAGAGATCCAAAGTTGCAGAATTGTTTGTTCTACCCAATTTCGGACTGAAGCTGACAGAACGAGGTTTTGGCAGTTGAGGCACTACTTCTGGTTTTTTTACAGGTGGAAGTACGTTTTGATTGGTAGCTCCTTTGCAACTCTCCTTTTTTCGTCTACGTTGTCTCTCAGCTTCTTCATCAAGTTCTTTATCCCAATTTACCTACAACAATGGTGATTTATTAAAACTCGAAATAACAAGCACGTTATGATAATTTAATAAATATGTAAAATTAATATACAGTGTGTCCCATAAGTTCGGCAACGGCAAGAAACTCGGCGGGGGAGCATTTTAGAGAAAAATGTTTCCAATAAAAGTTGTAAGGCTTAAAAAGTCGCATTTAATGACAGTAGTTATTTGACCTAAGATGACGTCGCCAAGGTCAGGACAAGGTCAACTTTGCTTTTTTAAATAGAAATACATATTTTTTATTACGGGATTTTATTCTACGTAAAAAAGCAAACAACTTTTGCTTGAAAAAATTTTTTATACGACCTCTATTTTCTAAGATATTTACGTAAATATCTACAAAATTATTGGTTTCAATAATTTTTTACTTGAATTCTATTAACTTTACCGAAAAATATTAAGAGATAAAAATTGCTTATTTTGTTTTCAAAGAGCTCTGAGAATTTTTTCAGAATTTTGTGTTAACTTTTTAGTACTTCAAGAAAATGCAAGAAAATGCAGTACTAAAAAATTAATATAAAATTCTGAAAAAATTCTCAGAGCTCTATGAGAACAAAATAAA